TTTATTTTTTATTAAAAAATTAATACTTTTTTTTATGTTCGCAGGCAAATTTGCCTGCTCTACAGTTTAAGGGATAGATTTGTCTTTATCTGTAAAACTCTAGAGAATTGCAAATATTTTACAAAATCTCCTAGATATTCATCTTTATTTGCAAAACTCTAGAAAATTACAAATTTTTTTGTAAAATCTTTTAGAAATTCATTTTTATCTGTAAAACTCTTAAAGAATTGCAAAATCTTAAACAATTCTTAAATGATAAATCGTATGATTTTATATTAATTTATGAATTAAATAATTTTAAATTTATAAATAGATATGCAGTTTTTATAAATTATTTGAATTATTTAAAAATTTTATTATATAACCTATTCTACTTTAATATGCAAAAATATTTCTTTAATCACATTATATTAGTTTTCTTATTAATTCATTTTTTATTTTTTCAGTTATTTTTCCTTTTTCTATTGCAAAGTGTTTATATAATCTTTTTTTTTTTTTTTATAAAATCCTAATACTTATTTATCTAATTAGAATCATTTTTTTTTTTATATTTTTTTCTTACAAATTTTAATATTCATTAATCAAATTAGAATTAGAAGTTGTTATCGCATCTTGCATTATATTGCATTAATGTAAAAAGTTTTAAAGAAGAAATAGTTTTTATTATTATTTTTCAAATATTAAGCAAAATAATAAATTTTCAATATTTAATGATTTATGATGATTAATGATTAAAGCCTTATTTAGAGATATTACTATTAGATTTATCAGATTAAATAATTTATAGTATTTTTAATAATTATCAAATATATTATATATATAGAATATAACTGATTTATTTTTACTTCACTAGAAATGGATTTGGAAAATAGGAAATATTATAATTATAAGAGAGTCATATATACAGTCCCTGACGAAAAGAATAGCGGACACATTTTTTAAAGGTATATAAATTTTTTATTATTAATTGTATTTTATTTTTATTTTTTAAAAGAATAATACTAATACAACATTTTTCATTATATGATTAATATTTTGTATAATCTTTTTTGCATTGATGTATGCTTGAATCCAGTTTGGCATACTTTTTATACATCTAAGTAACACACTTAAAGATGGTAACCATAATTAATATGTTGTAACATATAATATTATAATATATGTTTTAACTACATTGCAAAAATTGATAATATTCATTAATTTGTTGCAATACTTAATAATTAATTTAACTAATTTTTGCAATTTTGCAATATTTTGAATGTCTGAATGTTAGAGGTATCAAATTTTTGCAATTTTGCAATATTTTAAATGTTCTAAACGTCAGAGATGTCAAATTTTTGCAATTTGCAATATTTTGAACGTTTCAGATGTCAGAGATATTAAATTTTTACAATTTGTAATATTTTAAATGTTTCAGATGTCAAAGGTGTCAAAATATTGCATTTTTATATAATTGCAAATAAATCGCATTCAAAATTAGCAAAATCATATGACATTTTACTGATTTTTTAATTAGTCACTGTGAAGTTACATCTAATCAATCAGATTATTGATCAAAAAATTTTTAATTACAATTTTCTTTTTTTAGTTTTTTCATAAAAAAAGTAAATTTTTAATTTAAATTTTTTTTTTCAATTTTTATTTTAAAAAAAAAAACTAATCTTACTTATCTTATAGATCGATTTGTAACCTATAAACTGTAAACTTTTAGAGATAAGTTTTAATGATAACTTTTAATTTAGATTTTTATTTTTTCAAATTTTATTTTTAAAAAAATATAATTAATCTTACTTACTTTGTAAACTGATTCAGAATCTATAAACTGTAAACCTTTGGAGGTAAGTCTTAATGGTAACTTTTTAATTTAGATTTTTTTTTTTTTTTAATATTTATTTTTAAAAAAATAAAAACTAATATTACTTGTCTTGTAAAATGATCTGGAACCTTTAAACTATGAAATCTTTGGATTATAGGTAAGCCTTAATGAAATAATTTTAATTAAATTTTTTTTTTTTAAAAAAAACTAATATTAACTTATCTTGTAGATTGATTTAAAGCTTTCAACTGTGAAAATCTTTGGATAAGATAAGTTCTAATAGAATAATTTTAATTGAATATTTTTTTTTATAATTTAATAAAGAATATTAACATTAACTTATCTTGTAGACTGATATAGAGCTTTCAACAATGGAATCTTTAGATGAAATAAATCCTAATAAAATAATTTTAATTAAATTTTTTTAATTTAAAAAAGAAAATTTATATTTACTTACCTTATAGACCGATCTGAAACTTCTAACTGTGAAATCTTTAGATTAAAGGTAAGTTCTAATGGAATAATTTAACTAATTTTTATTTTTAATTTTTTTAAAAAAATACTAATATTAACTTACCTTGTAGACTGATTCAGAACCTTCAATCATAGAATCTTTTAATAAGGTAAGTCCTAATAAAGTAATTTTAATTAAATATTTTTTTTTTATAATTTAAACAAAGAATATTAATATTAATTTATTTTATAGATGATCCGAAATCTCTAACCTTGAAATTTTTGGATTGAAGGTAAATCTTAATGAAAAATGTTAATTAAATTTTTTTTTTAATTTTTTTTAAAAAAATACTAACATTAACTTACCTTGTAGAATATCGTAAAGCGCGCTCTATAGTATTTCAGGTATTTTACATTCTACAAAAATTTCAGGGGTACTATGATCAGAGGGGTATTGTGGTGTAATAGTGATACAATACATGGTGATACATTTTAGCTATATATAAATAACAAGGTAAGTGGCATTTTGTTAAGTTTACAAGTTTCGTTATGGTGATAATTGGAAATAAACATTGTAACCATGCTAAGGTTACTAAAAAACTTTGACGACAATAGTGTGCTCGTGAAAAGCTTATAATATTGCATTATGTATAAAGAGTTCAAAGTAAAAAGGCTGCTGTAAAAAGATTCAATATTAAATTAAAGCAAATAAGGGATTGGAAAAAAAAAGGGAGCAACTTATGTCTTCGGCTCTATATATTAAAAAGTTACATCCAGAGAGGTCTTCAAGTTTACCTAAACTAGAAAAACTACTATTTCAATAGTTATAGAATTTAAACCAAGAAAGTAAAGCTATAACTCGCAATATAGTTATAAAAAAAGCCAAAAAAATGGCAGAAGTTGATGAAATGAAACGACTTTATCCAACAATTCAAGATTTTAAATTTTCTAACAAGTGGTTAGATGGTTTTATTGGTAAATATAACTTATATAATAGAAGAAGAACAATAATATCCCAATAATTGCCTGAAGATTTAATTGAAAAACAGCACTCATTTTTGAGTTTTATTCTTTATAGACGTATATAATATGATTATCTACTCAATTTAATTGCTAATTTTGATGAAACTTCCCTTAGTTTTGATTTATCATCTTCAATAACGTTAGAATTAAAAGGATCTAAAACTGTTAGTATTAGATCAACTGGTCATAAAAAAAATTGTTTCACAGTAGTTTTGGCATGTATAGCTGATGGAACCAAATTAGAACCTGTCATTATTTTCAAATTAAAGAATATACCTTGTGAAGTTTTTCCTGATAGAGTAAAAATTCGAGTCAATAAAAAAGGTTGGATTAATGAGAAAGAAATGCTTTGGTGGATTGAAAATATATAGTGTAATAGAGCTGGTACAGTGTGGTACCTCTATATTCATCAAGCCTTTATGACAATAATGTGATACTTTCCGATTGTTACCAGGTCTTCCAAAATAGGTATTCTGAAATTCTAACTGATAATTTTGATAGCTGTTAATAAGAGCTTTTAAACTTATCAGTTTTTGTCAATAAATTTTTAATTTTGCAGAACTTATGTAAGCATACGTCACAACTGTTTTATATAGATTAAGGCAAAATTGAGAAATAGTAAATCCTGTGTAATATATCAGAAAAAATGATATTTTAACGCAAATGTCTCAATCAGCAAATTCTATATAGATTTTTCTTATGAAAAAATTTTTTTACAAGCGAAATTTTTTAAGAAATTTTAATGAAATTTTCATATATTTATAATAATATGGGCATCCTTTTTTTTCAGTTTTATTGTAATTTTTATATTATAATATACAATATAATATGCCTTTTACACAAAAGCAATTAGCTGCCAAGGAATAGATAAAATATCAAACTCGCAATACCAACTCCAGGAAATTTGTTTCTAGTATTTATACTTTTTATAAAGAGGTAGTTTTTTTTTATGTTTATTTTTAACTTATGTTGCCTTTTTTTTTTAGTTTTTAATAAACTTTTAGATAATTCAAATGAAGAATATTCAGAAGTTCAGATGATAAATACTCAGAAAGTTCAGAAGGAGAATATTCAGACAGTTTGGATGAGGAATTTTATATAATAAAAACACTTCAATTAGGAGAAATAACATTTTTTTGGTCGGGACAAACTAAAGAAAATAAAAAAAGAAAGGCATTATATCTTGGAACATCTAATGCAACATACTATCAAAAATATAGACTATCAGGTTCATTTACGAAAGCAGCTAAAGGTTCTTCTTTAATTACTCAATACTTTGTGAAAAAAAAAGACGGAAAATACAGAAACGAAATCTAACTATACAGAAATGGAATCTAATTCTGATATTAATGATGATGATGAGAATGAAGATAAGGAGGATGAGAAGGATGAGGATAAAGAGGATGAGAAAGATGACTTTACTTTACGAATGCAAGAACTTGAGAAAGTGCTTAACCAAAATAAAAAAAAACTTTTCGCATATGACTATTTAAGATATCGTTCAATTTATGAGTTTTTTATAAACTTAAAAAAAGAAAGTATAATACATAAAGATGCTGCATTAAATGTAGCAAAAAAAAATTATAATGAAGGATCATGAAAAACAAGAATAATTTGTAAATAGGCAAAAGGTTGGATTGAAAATGGTTCTTTACCAGTTAATTTACAAGGTTGTTATCAGAAAACTAAATCATTTATTAATGATGAAGATGTAATTAGAAAAAGCTTAAAATTTATACATACAAATGAAGGAAAAATTACGCCTAAATTATATAAAACTTTTATTGAAAAAAACTCTTTCCATAAATAGGAGTACATAAATCAATTTCAGAAAAAACAACAAGAATCTGGTTATGAAAACTTGGACTTGTTCTACAATCCTGACGAAAAAAAAGTTATCTTGATGAACATGAACATTTAGATATTGTAGAATATCAGAATAAATTTCTTGAAAAGATGGAAATATTTTGAATGATTAATGCTAATATTTGAAGGAGATAATATGGATCAAAAGAATCCTACTTTATCTAAAGAAGAAAAACTTTATATTTTAGTAACTCATGACGAAAGTTTTTTTTTATGTTAATGATGATCATCCTATAATATAGGCTCCTCTTAGTGAACAACTACTCCGTAAAAAAGGACAAGGAAAATCTATAATGGTTAGTAAGTTTCTTTTAGAAACTATTGGTTGTCTTAAATTAACAAATGAACAAGCTCAATTGAATCCTGAAATTCCATATGAAACTCAAAAATTCTTAAAACTAGAAAAAAATAAAAAGGGTTGGAGGACAGCAAAACATTTAATTGAATAAGTAAAAAATTGTGCTATTCCAAATTTTTGAAGTAATGCATCCAAATGCAATTGCTGTTTTTGCTTTTGACAATTAGTACTAATCATGATGCAATAGTAGAAAATACTTTATATGTACAACATATAAATCTTAATCCTGGTGGATGACAACCAATAATGAGAAATACTATATTTGGATCAAAAAATGTTTTACAATCAATGATATTTTCTTCTGATCATCCAAAATATCCAAATCAACCTAAAGGTATTAAACAAATATTGATTGAAAGAGGTTTATGACGTAATGGTTTACATCTTGAATATCAATTATGTAAAGGAAAGAATAAAGTAATTGATTCTACAAGAATTGATTGTTATGCACGTAAAATTATGTCTTTACAATCAGATTTTCTTGTGTAAAAATCAGAATTAGAAACAGTAATTAAAGAAGCTGGACATAAATGTATTTTTTATCCAAAGTTTCATTGTGAATTAAATTTTATTAAAATGTATTGGGGAGCAGCAAAAAGATATATATGTGAATATTGTGATTATATATAGAATGGATTGCAAAAAACTGTTCCAGAAGCATTAGATTCTATTTCATTAATTACAATAAGACAGTTTGCTCAAAATGGAGATATATGGATATCTATAGGAAAGGAATTACAGAAAAATTTGCTATATTTGCAGGAAAAAAATATAAATCACATAGAAGAGTTCTTGATGATGTATTTAATCAAATTATTTTAGAAAATGATAATAAATAAAATCAATTTTTTTTGATTATTTATATAATAAATTTTAAAATTTAAATGTTCAATATATTAAATTATACATAAGTCATGTGATTTTATATGATCATATGATTTTATATTAGTCAAAAATTGAGAAAAAAATTTTTTTGTTTAATTACTTTCTTTAAAGAGAACTATTTAATAATAATAATTTTATAAAATTTTAATCACTAGATCATAAGATATAGAGTTGATGAGTATAGAGATACTGCACTGTATAAATAATAATTCAAGAAGTCTTTTAATATTTGATTCCTTTTGTGATCATTTGGTTAATAGTGTTAAAAATAGATTTGATGAAAAAAAAACAAATATTGCAGTAATTCCTAGAAGACTGACTAGTAGACTTCAGCCATTAGATGTTGAAATCAATAAAATTTTTAAATCTAAGGTATTTATTTATTTATTTTTTTTTTTTTTGATTTTTTTGATTTATTTTGATAGTTTTACTTAATGATCTTCTTTATTTTGTTAGATTCACGAATTATATAATAAATGGATATCTAAAGAAGTTCATGAATTTACTCCAGCTGGAAGGATCAAAAGATCTACTTATAATAAAGTTGCACAATGGGTTAAAGTAGCTTGAGATAACATTAATGTTGAAAAAGTTAAAAAATCCTTTAAATATTGCAGGATTTCTGTAGCAAAAGATGGTACTGAAGATGATCTTATTTTCAATTATGATTTGCTAAATGATGAAAATGAAAATCCTAATGATGATGAGATGTTTGAAGATAGCGTATATGATGATTTTATTGATAGTTATGAAAATTCATAGAATTAATTAGAATATCAATTTAGATAATAAATTATAAATTGTAATAAGTTTTATCAAATTAGCAATAAAAAATAATTTTTTTTCAGATTGCTATATTAAATTCAAAAATAAAAATTTTATTTAAAATAAATTGTGATGTATAATACCTGGGGTACTTTATATGGAGTCACTATATTCGCAATATATAATATCTGGGGTATTTTATATTCTAAGCCGTTCAAAAAGTGGGGGGTCATTATATATAGGGAGGGGGGATATTATAGAGTATGCTTTACGGTAATTTAAAACCTCTAACTATGAAATTTTTAGATGAGGTAAGTTCTAATAAAATAATTTTTTAATTAAATTTTTTTTTAATTTAACAAAGAATATTAAGATTAGCTTATCTTGTAGAATAATATGATATTTTCTAAATTTTGTGAATCTGAATTGATTAGTATTTTTTTTTTTTAAAAAAAAAAAAAAGGTAATTAACACTAAATTTACCTTTATAGAATAGTCTGGATCCTTGAAATTTTAGGTTAAAATCAATTGGAGATAAGTCTTAAATAATTTGTCAGGTTTTTTTTAAAAAAATTAACTAATATTAATATTTATTAATATTTGTCTTTATAGATCAGCTATACTTGAGATAATGGAGGCGAGGGTTTTTTAATCATAACTTTAATAGTAATTTTCATTATATAATAATTTTAAAAAATTATGTAAATTTTATTTTTTT